CTTGAGATAAGCCAGCAGAATTTGCATGGCCTTCTCGAACCTTAGGCTTTAAGTGATCCGGGCTCACTTCTACTGCATTCTACTCATCAAGGTGTTAAGAAAGACACTAACGGCTTCAGGTGGAGGGCACATAGACCCCGTCTTTGATGGGAAGAATGACCAAAAAAATTGTGAACACATTTTTACATCACCACACCTCCTCTGTGAGGGTTCTTTGACTACCCCATATAAGAAAGCTCCTTCCCCTACCCCAGCCCTAGAGCCCTCTCTATCCTCTTATCCTGCTTTATTTTCCTTTACAGTTCATATGTCTTCACTGATCTTGCATGTTATAGTTGCTGGATACTCGTTTATTGTGTATCTCACCCACTAGAATGTAGGCTCCATGGTGGTAAGGACATTGTTTTGTAGCCCCAGCCACTAGAAGCATTCCTGACACAGAGCAGGCCCTCCATAAAGGTCGTTGAATATTGCCTCATTGGGAGCACATGAAAGAAGCTCCTAAATAATACTTGGAAAATCAGGAAAGGTCCTGAAAAAAATGAGTGTTGGACACTGCTGTTATATTATCTTTTCGTCTTGATGAATTGCATGAACTAAGCCAACTGGCAGATCTGTGGGTTAAGAATGCAGTCCTAATTAGCTTATATTTCTCCACTCACAGGAGCCACATTGTCTTATTTATTGACAAAAAGATTCCTTCCTATGGCAGGTGTTTTTTCGCCTGGGTCTGCCACAATGTGTCCTGGAGAGTGAGCTGCTCCTGAGGTTTCCTTTTACTAAAGCTGGAAGCTTGTCATGGCCGGGAGATGGAAGCAGGCATACATCAAGGGCCCTTCATTTAATGCATTCCTGGCCCAGAGTTAGACCTCCTGTTGTGTTGATATACATCACTTTGATCTGGGAAGTGACTTTCAAGCTGAGATTGAAACACTTAGAGATACGTTTTACTTGATAAACACATTTCATCTAGGAATCCAGAAAGTGCTTTACAAATACTTCTCCACTCAGCCTAATAACTCAGCAGGGTGAACGGCAGGTGGTAAGCATGGTGCATACACAGTCTTTGAGCCACAAAACATTATCTGCCTAGTGAGTCAGAGGAGCTCAGGAAGGAGCAGTGGGCTCAGAAGGAGCTATCCAAGATCACTTATCTTCTTTCTTAATATTTATGTAGTACATTCATTTCAGTTACACATTCCTTTTGCATAATCTACTATTTCCTCCTGATAATTCCCCAGAGTCCTGCTTATTTTGCCTCCAAGTAACCAGGTATCTGGTGCAATGAAGAGAAAACAGCCAGATGCTCACACTTTTCAGTTTATTTTTGCCTAATTTGACATCATTTAGGTTTAAGCTTAAAATAGATCCAGGCAAGAACCAAGTTGTCCAACTGATGTACTTTACCTAGAATGGCTCTATTAAGAAAGAAGGAAAGAAAGAAAGAAGAAAGAAAGAAAGAAAGAAGAAAGAAAGAAAGAAAGAAAGAAAGAAAGAAAGAAAGAAAGAAAGAAAGGAGGGAAGAAGGAAGGAAGGAAAGGAAGAGAGAAAGCAAGGAAGAAAGAAAATTTTTGTTAACTTACTGTATTTCAAAATGTCTAAAAAGTCATAAGACTATTATATCCAAAAAGTGTTGACTATGACCTTTTAGGATTTGATTGGTGATGGGAAAGGGAGGCAGCATAGGGAACAGGGCAAAATTGCAGTGAACTAGGAGTGGAGAGAAGTAGATTCCGAATCCAGTTTTGCCACTAACTGTCCAACTTTGGATAAGTAGTGTAGTTCTGGTTTTAGTTTCTCATCTGTAAAAGAGAACTAATAACGCCTACAAAATGAAGTCTCAGTGGTAGAATAAAAGATTAATGAGAAAATGAGATTTGAAAATTGTCTAGTAAAACTAGTAGACAAATAGAAGAAACTGCTTAATTAAAAAAAATTTATTGAATGTTGTGAGCTGAATTGTGTCCCCTCCCCCCATTCATATGTTGAAGTCCTAACCCCCAATATCTCAGAATATGACTGTATTTGGAGGTAGGGTCTTTAAAGAGGCAATTAAGTTAATATGGGGTCATTATGGTGGGCTCTGACCCAATACGACTTATAAGAAGAGTCCTTATAAGAAGAGTAAATTTGTACAGAGCTGTAGAGAGGAAAGATCATCTGAAGATGGCCATCTACAAGCCAAGGAGAGAAGCCTCACAAGAAACCAACCCTGCAGACACCTTGATCTCAGACTTCAAGCCTTCAGAACTATGAGAAGATAAATTTCTGTTGTTTCAGCCACATGGTCTGTGGGATCTGGTTATGACAGAACTAGTAAGCCAACAAATACACTGCGCCTGATATCTAGAGGGCTGTAAGTCTCACTCCCAGGGCAAAGATGTGATAGAGGACTTTCCTAGAGGGTCATTCCAGGGATGAATCCAAATCGTGGTCTAGGAGGGCAATAAAAGATCAACGCCAGAGCTCTCTACTAAGTCCAGAGTGTGAGTCAAATCTGTAAAAAAGAAAAGGAGTCCTTTAGTTAGAAGCTGACAAAGAAGGGAATCAGTGTGTACATAATTAATGCGGTGTTATTATTTATGTAAAGGATGTTAGAGAACAGTGTATGGGCGATGCCAATATCTTCGGAGCAGGATCCCGGTCCTTGTGTGTGAAAAAGATGAACAGCCTTTCTCATCAGCCCCCATCACTGGCTGGGTTCTAGGCTTGCCCACTCCTCACTCTGGAGTGTTTACAGTGGATTTTACCTTCCATCATGATCCTTCATTCCGTACTTCACCCTCTGAACTAGTTATTCACTGAAGCTGTTCTCAGTGGCAGGTGGGAAGGATAAAAGTATCATGTCACTGATCTATAGGGTGAATTTTTTAGAACCAAGGGAGTAATCTCTTTGGGGGAGATGCTAAAACAAAATGCTAACCTGACCATCTAAGTAAGTGATAAATACAAAAAAGATAGACAGGAGCAGATAATCCAGTTGAAGGCAACAGGACTAATACTGGAGAAACAAAGATATTGAAAAGATCCATAGAGACATTAATAAATAGAGCCTAGAGTAATTCCCAACATTAATGATAAACCAGCTCAGTGATATTTTCAAGTTAGTGGTAGCTTCATGTTTGAGCTATATTGATATAATGAGCACCCCCAACCTACTCGAACTGTACCCTTTCAGATTTCATGAATATGCTCTGATGCGGTGTTTCTCAACAGTGCATGAACATGAGAATCACTTGGGGTACTTTTTAAAAACATTTGGTGCCTGGAGCCCATCCTCAGAAAGCCTGATTTAATTGTTTTGGAGTGACAATCACAATCATACAAATTCCTATTTTTAATATCTGAGGATTATGACATGCAGTGTATGGAGACCCACTGCTATAGATCATAAAGGCGCATCTGCCGTTGCCTCTTGATGAGGCCCAATAGTTCCAGAGGAGATCTTAGTTTTATGGAAAAGCTCTAGCAGAGAATTTCTCAGCCCTGTAGTTTCAGATTCACGCTAATACTCAGGCTTCCAGGAAAGCAGGTTCACCAAAGAGTTTTGGCAGCCTTTTTAATATAGGTGTAACCTGTCCTTTTAAAAGATGGATGCTTATCAGACCCTCTGATTTTCTGGATGGTGTAGGATGTCTCCAGTCTTAAAGTCTGCCTTATTGACAGACAAATCATGCACAAGTAGAATGTGGGTGGTTCACTAGGAGATTGTAGCCTAGAGAAATATAGACCTAGATCTGCCCAAGAAAACATGATCAAGAACTTCCTGCCCCTTCTTGCACGTAGTTATTCATTTGTGTTCAGAAAACATTTACTGAGCACCTACTATGTTCCAAGAACTTGATATGCAAGCTGCACAGGTTTAGAAGTGTCCCAGATCACTGATGTTGTTATTTAGAATATAAGCTCTTTTAGTTTGGGGATCATAGTTTTTGCTTTATTTTGTTTTGTTGTTTTGCACACCATTATATCCCAGGTGCTGGCTACAGGAGCGGCTGGGCTGGCTGGCTTACATTTGCAAGAGAACCAGGCAACTGGAGGCTTTTTCAGACTCTGGGGGACACAAAGTGAAACAAGGTCTCTAGCCTCACTGAGTTCAGAAGGTAGTGGGAAATCTAAGACTAATCAATGTAAAACAGGCAGCAGGATGACTTGCCCGTTTTTCTCATCACCATTACTATCTTTTGGTTAGGTCGAAAGTTAAGTCACAAAGCAGTACGAGAATTCAACAAGAAGACCAGATGAAAACACAGAGCAGCATACGATCAAATGCCAAATGAGAGATCTAGTAAAAGGATTAGTCCTTTGATTTGCGAGGCACCTGGATGGTTCAGTTGGTTAAGCGTCTGCTCAGGTCGTGATCCCAGAGTCCTGGGATCGAGCCCCGAACTGGTCTCCCTGCTCAGGAGGGAGCCTGTTTCTCCCTCTCTCCCCTGCTTGTGCTCTATCTCTTGCTTTCTCTCTCAAATAAATAAATAAAATCTTAAAAAAAAAAAAAAAAGGATAAGTCCTTTGATTTGGAAGGCAGAAAAGTAGTAAATAAATCAGACTGGCTCGGGAAGACTTTGTGGACACAGACACTCATCATGCCATGAAGTTGACGCATTCTGTTATCTTAGTTATGGCCCACAGATAATACAAGAGAACGAGAAGCCATTTCCCATCGACTGCAGAATGAGCTCTTGGAGCGAATGGTCAGAATGTGACCCTTGCCTCAAACAAATGGTAAGTGTTCATTGTCATTCCCCACCCATGACCCCAAATGGAAACTGTGTTCCCAGCATCTCCAGGAAAAGGACTAGGAGGCAGGGAGCCTCCAGCTGAGTTCCAAACTAAGAAGGAAAGATAAATATCTACGTGAATGAGGCTCGATTTGCCTGGAAATCTCAGCGTGGCACACAATGGTAAATGCGTGCCACGAGGACCCGGATGCTATAGGAGAGACGGCCAACCCTGGCATGCAGGGTGTTACTTTAACATTAGTGACTGCTTTTAGGGCTTCCATCTTTTTTTTTTTTATTATGTTATGTTAATCACCATACAGTACATCATTAGTTTTTTATGTAGTGTTCCATGATTCATTGTTTGCATATAACACCCAGTGCTAGGGCTTCCATCTTAAAACCATCGACTCAACTGGGTCTGGAGGACTACAGTGTTGTGGATGCAGTTTTAGATCATTATCCCTTTTGGCCATAGAAATTCTAATATTTCCAGCTGGTTTTACACAGTTCCGCTCAAGGAGCATTGAGATCTTTGGACAATACAACGGGCAGAAGTGCATAGACGCTGTGGGAGACAGACGACAGTGTGAGCCCACTGAGGCCTGTGCAGACATGGAGGAGGACTGTGGCAATTACTTTAAATGCGATACAGGTAATCCCTGCATCCCCCTTGCTCACCACAGAGCGAAAAGAATGAAGCCTGCTTTTACACGCTCGTGTTTCCAAGTGCGAAAGGGGCCGGTCAAAGGGCTGTCTGTAAATGCTGCACAGCACACCCCTCCGTGGGGCAGGTGCAGCCTCAGAGACAATGATTCCTGGTTTCCACAAGTTAGTTAATAAACAAGGCATCTTTAGATTTACCGTAAAAAAAAAAAAAGAATTCAGAAATAACTGTAAAGGGTGCTTCTGAGAATTCAAGTGTGTGCCTGTTCCCTCCCCTCTATCATTAAAGTCCATTTGCTAACTTCAGGAAGAGAAAGGAAATCTGTCGTTAGACACGCAGTGTCTTTCTTGATTTTGATTGCAGGCAGGTGCATCAAAAGGGGGCTTCTGTGTAACGGTGACAATGACTGCGGAGACTTTTCAGATGAGGTTGATTGTGAAGGTGATCTCCGTTCCCCTTGCCGTGAGAGGATCGTGGAAGAATCTGAGCTGGCTCGGACAGCAGGCTATGGGTCCGTATTTGGCTTAAATGTTTCTAAATGAAGATGGGTGGAAGGGGCACCTCAGTCTTGCCTGCCGCGCTAGGGTGGTGGAGGGTCTGCGAGGGCGGGGGGTGGGGGTGGGGAGCAGCTCCCAGGTCTGCCTTCTGCTTGAAACATGCTTGAGCTTAAAAGAAGGTAAGTGTGACATGAGTATCTCGAGATCATTTGGACGAAGCGCCTGGTCTCAGGAGGGGGTCTGTAGAATTTGGAGGATAGGTGATTTTCTCCGAGTCCATCAGGAGATGACACACCTCGGTTATGAACCTCAGGAAGGCCACAACAATGTTCAAGTGACATGTTACCACTTGACATTGAGTTGCCAGTGGTAGGTCTGGCCATTCAAATATTTGAATTGTCAGTAAGGCTGGTCTTCCCTGGGAACTTGTCCTGGATCTACGCCAGGTTATCAGTTCTCAGGAGGTAGAGCATTGTAGAGTCAACCCGAGAGGAAAGGGCAGAAGAAGCAGTTCTGATGTGGATGGTGATGGTGTTGAGACTCTGGTTCTCATTACAAAGTGAAGTTTCACCCACTTTCTGTACAAAACATAGGGGCTCTGGCCAGCTAAGCTCGGATGAGAGGTCTTGGACAGTTTAGAACTCAGAGTGTCACAGAATAAAGACCATCACCCAGAGATCTGCGCTCTGGGAATTAGGAAAATGACGTAGGCCCGAGGTGCTGTTCTGTTCTGTTCCATATGGTCAGAGAAGATTCCAGGGATATCCATGACATAGTTTCCATTTGTTGTTCTGAGCTGTTTTCAGCAAAGGTACTTTGGGTAAATTTCTTGGCAAATTGTACTCAAAAGAGACACAGCTTTTCCCAAGTCCACTGGTCTATTGACAGAGATGGCATGTGGCTCTGTTTCACTGCCTGTCATGCGATGTGTCTTATCAACCTCGTGATCTCAGTGCCTGGTTCATCATAGGTGCTCCATAAACCCTGGGTGGGGGGGGGAGTAGACAAATAGGTGAATCAGTCAATCAGTTCATGAGTTAATGAAAATAAGTGCTTCTAAAATACTGTCAGTTGGCATCAGGTAAGATTGAAACTGGGTCCCTAGAAATAAATTCAGGTTCAGGACTTAAGTCCTGGGAATGGGGATAAGGAGAGGAAAGAAGATGGGGATGATGGTAAAAGCAAAGCTAATAGAGGGACTAAGGTACTGGTTCCCAACCAGGGGTGATTTTTTTCCCCAGAGGACATTTAGCAATGCCTGGAAACTCTTCTAGGGGGGTCACAACTGTGGGGGATGGGATGGAGGACTCAGGGGGTGAGGTAACACGGCTACCTCCAGTGGGTAGAGGCCCTGGATGGTGCCAAACATCCTGCAGTGCACAGAGCAGCCAGACCCACAGCGTCAGTGGTGCTCTGGCTGAGTAACCCTACACCAGGATAGGGGGCAGTTCCTAAGATAAGGCCTCTGGATCGAGGTTGGCTATAAATGGAGATGTCTTCTCTCTCTAAGCCAGATGGAACTTGAACTTTTGAATCTCAATAAAGAGAAAAGTCCAGGGTACCAAGAGTCAGGCACCAGATAAAACATTTCATACACCCTTTATTCACTTTATAAAATCTTGTCCTAGCAACATCCAAGTATTGCCCACGAACTAAGGGTCTTTGGCCCTTAGCCTAAAGGTAGGAGTCTTGAATCCAGTGTACAGTCTTTGTCTCCAAACACAGGAGGTTCTTTTAATAATTGTCAGTAAATGGTATGGAGGTTGTCAGAAACCTTAGAACCAGATCACTGCATGCTCCAATGAGTTCTGACTCATCCTGCTGCTTTCCTTAGGGAGACACTGTGAGTCTGTGGTGAAAGTCCATTATGACTTTGTTTTTGCTTTATTTGGGATCCGAGAAACAGTTTTCTCCTTAATCTAAACAGATGGGCTTGAAGCAGGGCATTGCATATATTATGTATTTTCGCTCAATGCAAATTTGCACCTTGTGAAAGGATACAGAAATTTTAGCCCTCTCAGTTGAAAAATAATCATTCACAATCTATTCATTTTCTTTGTTTAGAGAAAAAAAATTATTATATAACATTTGCTAGAAAGTTTCATAATGAGGCATCCTAGAGAGCTGGCTAAATATATCATGCTTTGCCACGGTAAGGGCTGGTGACAGGGAATGACACAGGGCTGAGTCTTCAGGACCATGCAAGAGGGTGGGATCCCAGTTATGGGGAAGGTTGGCTGAAGAGGTGAAAAATGAGGTAGGTCCTCATAGAATAAATCTACCAGCATTTTTTATTAAATTCCCATTACCATGAACAATTACCTATAACTAGTCTTCCTAAAGCCTATTATTCTCCAACAGCTTTCATTTGCATAATACTTTGAACTTTCTTTTCTACATTTTTTTCTCTATAGAGTTTTCATAATAATCCTGAGGTTGTCAGGGGAGGTATTACATTCACTTTACAGAAAAAAGAAAAATGAGAGAAGCAAGTAAGACCATTTTATCTCTTTAGATTCTAGCAGAACTCTTTAGTTTCCAGTGGAACTAAACCCAAGTTTCTCTGACTTTTATAAAACTATGTTTTTTTCACCATGCCACCTTACCTTGGCCTCTCCCCACATGCTCATCTCCACCCACATCATTTTCCCCATCACTGCAAAACCTGTAAATCAACACCCTAGCTTCAAAGCAAAACTAACCAATGATCTCCTTAAGTTGCTATTAATTATCCGAATTTTTGAATTAAGAGTATAGAAGAGTAGAAATCAGTGATTAATATTTAAGAAGAGTTCTCAAAATGGCATGCTTTATTATATTGGTGATATTCCTCAATCCCATGAACATTATGTATTTATTTACCATGCATCACCATTATTCTTCTAAGGGTTTCTGGGATATATTGAATAGAGGTAATAGGAGTAAACACCCTCGTCATAGCAACAGATTTATAAACTGCTTCTACACAATCCAATCTGGAAAATCTCAACAAGTCTTATGAGCAGTCATATACAATCAGACTCTTTCATACATGAAAGTACAAGTACCCACAGTCATTAATTTGTACCTGTTTTTTTCATTTGAAGGACTCCCCCTTAAATTCTTAATGCCAGCAGAATTCCCTTGTATCACAAATATTTCCGCCTCTTGCCTTGTAGGCATTTGAGATTCTCCAGAAGTGTTTAGGGAAATACCCTAACTTGCACTCATTGAAAAAATATAAATCCAAACCAGCTGTAAATGATGTATGGTAATGAATTACTTTTTTATGTGATCTAAGCATAGCACCCCTTCTGTGGAGGGAGCTTTCTTTTCTGGTCACCTGGTAAATGGGAACTGCCTATGGTTCTAGATGCTGGCATGAAAACAGGCATCTCTAGGTGCTGCCAAAATACACATGATTTTTTTATTTCCCAGGCGATGACATTCCATCCATGAGAAGTTTTCATGTTTCTTGGCCGAAAAAAAAAAATTGGCTCATTCTAGACTAGACTGGCTGTCTCTATAGTAGTGGAACCAAGTCAAAAGTTTTGAAACATTTCTTCCTTAGTTGTGCTTTAGACTGTGGAGCAGTTTCATTGTAACTTTCCAGATGGATCCAGCCAACTAGTCAGTTTGCTGTTCTGTAAAATAAAACCTTCAAAGTGGGGTATGCATACTACTGTGGGGTGCAAAAAGACTTTCTAAGGGGGAGACAGGTAAGTTTTAAGGTAATAGTTTCCTCAACTATTAGTGGCTTAACTAATCTATTGAACCAACAGTAAATCGTTTATTCCATACATACATATTTTTCATAAACTTGAGAAGCTTAACAACCCCGTGGCATCCAAGTTGTGAAGCCCATTCTCCCCTCTGCAGTCCCCTTTTGTAATCACCTAACTTTCACCGTCCAAAAGAAGAGTACCCCCCTCACCCACCTCAATTTTACTCTGTGGTGGGAAAACCAAAAAACATTTCCAAATATTGGTGCTCAGTTGGACTCCAGTGCCTTGTAAGTCAACCCATCTCCAATTCTCTTTGAAAGATATTGTAATCAATTATCAGATAATGGGCTATACAAATAATTTTTAATGAAAGACTAGTCTGTGATCTTTCTTTTTGGCACAAAACTCAGAAGATCAAAGAATCAAGTGACATTGCCATGCCAAAATTCCTTCTATTCTTTTCCACTTATGTACATGAGTAAAGTTTCTCAGGATTTGTGTCTATAAAAATGGAAAGTAAGAATACAGTCGATCCTGAATCTTGTCTTTTTCTAGCAATAAGTAGTATCCATCTATGAAGGCAGGAACTAATCACTTAATTAAAAAAGACGCCCGTTCTTTTCACTGAGACACCTTTCCAAAAAAAAAAAAGAGTTTGTTAACTATTTAAAACATTTTAATATATATACTGCTAATAATTATAACTCAATCCAGAGGAGTTTTTACTTATTTAGACCTGATAGTTAAAGGATACTTAATATTTTTTAAATTTCAGTTAATACCTTTTTGGTACAAAAAAGTATAAAAAAGTGATCCATTAAAACTTCTGAGCTAAAATAACATTACAAGAGGTTAAACTTCTGTGGTGGAAATAGAATAGAAGTATGGATTCAAGAATCAAAAGTGGGTAGGGACATATGGGAAATCTCTGTCTCTTTCACTCATTTTGCAATGAACCTAAAACTGCTCTAAAAAATAAAGTGTCTTTAAAAAGAAATTAGAATAAAAAGGAATATCATAAAATCTCTAGTTGCTAAAGAAAGATAAACATTGCAGCGATTTGATACCCACCATCACTATGGCATTTATATTTCACTGGATTTATTTTAAAAAGAGGCAAAATAACTGTACTTTAAGATGTAAATATTTATAGCCTGCTGAGAAATTATATCCTTTGCAACTACTTAAACTTAAGATGAAAAATCTTAGATGTCACACCAACACTGTGCAGGCAGGCAAAATTTGTCATCATGTTTTCATAGAGTAGACAAGCAGAAAATCTGAAGACTACTACCCGAAACCATGCCATACACATTTCCTCCTCCAGGCTTTTGTGCACACCATTCTTCCTGCCCTCCCATCCCCATCCTGCAGCGCCCAAATCAAATCCTACTTCTTCTAATCTCTATTTATGACCCTGCCATGGGGTTTCTTCCTTTTGGGAACCTGCGCAGCACTTGCCTGTGCTACTTGGCGCACGTGTATTTGACCTTGGACTCTTTTTTGAAATAGGTGGTTATGTGTCCAACTCCATAATTTGAATACAATTTTCATGAGATCAAAGACTGCGTATTAACTCTCTTAATATTACTCACTATTTACTACAAATACTACACTCTGTGTAGATATCATAGTCACCCAAGAGTTAATCATCATTATAACAAAGATTAACGTCATTGTTCCCTGAAAGTGAAGAGGTACAGAGTCTCTGTTAATACAGATTTATGAAGGACAAGTTCACTATAGAACAAAGAAAATGTACTGCAGGGCTTGTTTAAGAAACAAACACAGATAATTTGTTTCCAGTGTTCCATGTCTTTGTATCAAAACCTTAGTCATACCAAAGGGGGGGGCGCGGGGAGGTATTATTCATTTGCTGTAGATGCAGGGATGGGTGAAGAAGTGAAGCTGAAATGTTAACCTACCATGAGGCATTAGATGTTTGAGAAAGTAAACCAGATAATAATGTCTCTTTTTTCTTTCTTACTCAACTAAGCCTAATTTTTGGCCCTATATTAAACTTTAGGGCCATAGCATTTTTCATGAAAGGTTCTCATAGAGCAAAAAATCAGAAGTAGTTAACTATACAGTTAGCTCTGAGAAAGATATTCCTGAATTGGTTCCTTAACTTACCTTCCTTTAAAGTTGAGCTATAATGTCGTTTTCTTTGTAGATTCAACATTTATTAAGAATGTGCCATTTGGAGGCACCTGGGTGGCTCAGTCAGTTAAGCATCTGATTTTGGCTCAGGTCATGATCTCAGGGTCCTGGGATCAAGCC